AACAGCAGTGGGCTGAAAAGTTACCACCTCCTAGCTTCATACTTGTGCCTATAGTCCACTCTTGGCACCCTTCATGGATATATATTTTGCTCTGTTGCACTTGCTTAGTGGTCATGTGCATGTCAGCTCCAAATCACAAAGTGGTGTATTATGAGAAGCTTCCAACATCAATACATGGCATAGCTATTCGTCAAATTGCTATTATCAAATAGCAAACACATCACAGCTGGATGTACCGTATAGCAGACCTGCACAGCACAAACACGAGTCACGAACTCTGGGTTGGGTGGAAGGGAGGAAGGGAGCGAGGAAGGAAGGAAAAGGGAGGATGGGGGGGTGAGAGGAAGGGAGGATGCAAGGAAGGGCGGATGATAGAACGGGAGGATGAGAGGACAGGAAGATGGAGGACAGGGGGATGGGAAGACAGGGGGATGGGAGGACAGGGGGATGGGAAGACAGGGGGATGGGAGGACAGGGGGATGGGAGGACAGGGGGATGGGAAGACAGGGGGATGGGAGGACAGGGGGATGGGAGGACAGGGGGATGGGAGGACAGGGAGATGGGAGGACAGGGGGATGGGAGGACAGGGGGATGGGAGGACAGGGGGATGAGAGGACAGGGGGATGGGAGGACAGGGGGATGGGAGGACAGGGGGATGGGAGGACAGGGGGATGAGAGGACAGAGGGATGGGAGGACAGGGGGATGGGAGGACAGGGGGATGGGAGGACAGGGGGATGGGAGGACAGGGGGATGGGAGGACAGGGGGATGGGAGGACAGGGGGATGGGAGGACAGGGGGATGGGAGGACAGGGGGATGGGAGGACAGGGGGATGAGAGGACAGAGGGATGGGAGGACAGGGGGATGGGAGGACAGGGGGATGAGAGGACAGGGGGATAGGAGGACAGGGGGATGGGAGGACAGGGGGATGGGAGGACAGGGGGATGGGAGGACAGGGGGATGGGAGGACAGGGGGATGGGAGGACAGGGGGATGGGAGGACAGAGGGATGGGAGGACAGGGGGATGGGAGGACGGGCTGATAAGAGGAAAAGAAGATGAGTGGTAAGGAGGAAGCAAAAAAGGGTGGATGGGAGGAAGTGAAAGGGGGAAAGTGGGAGAAAGAGGTTGGTGCAATGGGGAAGGGAAGCAACGACGAACCTAAATACGATAGCAAGGGATGAGAGGGTGGGAGGCGTTGGTGGAGAAACGATGTTGAAGAGGGGAACGTGATAGGCAGGGGAGTGATGACGACGTGGGGGGGATGGGACGTCGGCAGCAAGGCTAAACAAAGGTGATGGGAGGGCAAGCGTGGGCGAAGGTGGGGGGAAGCGTGGGCGACGGAAGGGGAAGCGTGGGTGACGGAGGGGGGAAGCGTGGGCGACGGTGGGGGGGAGCGTGGGCGACGGCGGGGGGGAGCGTGGGCGACAGTGGGGGGAAGCGTGGGCGACGGCGGGGGGAAGCATGGGTGACGGTGGGAGGAAGTGTGGGTGACGGTGGGATGAAGCGTGGGTGACGGCGGGATGAAGCGTGGGCGACGGTGGGAGGAAGCGTGGGCGACGGTGTGGGGAAGCGTGGGGGAAGGCAGGAGGAAGCGTGAGCAGCGGTAAGGGGAAGCGTGGGCGACGGGGATGGGAAGCGTGGGCCTGTGCGTGGGGAGGTGTGTGAGAGACGGTGGGGAGAAGCGTGGGGGACGCGGAAGGCGATAGGGTCAAATGAGATGTCAGGGCGACCGAGTCAGGAGGAGTGGTGGGGACACGACAACGGAGAAAGAGGGTGATCGAAACGGGGAAGCGGGGAAGCGTGGGCGACGGTATGTCAATGGGGAGGACGATGTGAGGGATATTGAGGTTGACCGCAAAAAAACTCGGGGACTCTAGATTGGCCGTAGGATAGATACGCCTGGAGTTATAAATGGGCCGTAGGACGACTAGGAAGAAATATGAAAGTGCTCATGGCCTGCTTTAGTGGCTTCTATTCTATCTCTTAGCATGATATAATCGGTTTGCATACTATGGGAATAGCACGACCTGAATTACCATAGAAGGGCAAACTGTGCACATTTTGAGCTCTTGTTCCTTCAGGAGGGTGTGGTTGGGACTCTCGCCAACCAAACCCTTCCTGCTCCACGACTCTGTTCTTTGGCGCGATGTTTTCTGGTAACCAGCCTGGCTCGGGAAGTCAACTGTGGGTTCGGAAGGCAAACTGTGCACAGTTTGCCTTCCTTTTTTTGTAATTCAGGTCTTGGGCTTTAAGGACTAAAAATGAAACAGACAAGTAAAGATTCGAACTCCCAACCTACGCGACAGATCACACATCAAAACCACTGCGCAATACAACTTGTCAAAGTTCAGTTTTGTGTTCGACATGTTCGTTTTCTGAACTATCATTGTCCATCCCTAAGGTTTCGTCAAATTTCTTTTCTCTCGCTTCTCTTCCAACAACGTACTCCATCTACTCCCGCCACTCACGCTAGTCCAGCTCCTTAGGTAAGCTATAGTAGCTCTGTTCTCTCTACTACCTCCGTTCCTTTTATCACCATCGGTTATGCTATATGTTTCTCGATTCTCCCTCCCTTATCCGCCTCTATTCTTCGATTTCCTTTCGTTATCCTCTCATAAATGTTGTTCTGCTAGTGCAAGTCGCGCTGGCATCTTTTTTAATGGTGCCAAACCATCTAAACGCGATCGCGCCATGCTCGGCGTCATGCGCGTTTTGCATGGTCGTTTTTTTGTTTCTCTCTAACCTCTTCTTCGTTCAATCCTCCATCTCTTCCTTATTTTCCATTTTCCAGTTCGCATCCTCTTGCATGGTCTTTACGTCCTCGTTCATGTACAACATTGCTCTTATGTCGTACCTACTGGCTGTTGCAGCAAATTAGTATGCATCAATTCTTTGTAAAGTTAAGTTCTGTTCCTCAGTTTAAACTTCGGATTGTACCCCTCTTTGAACGCATGTGCAGTTCAAGTGTGTATGTGCTGCATGTACTATCATCTTTATGTGTACTAATATGTATTACTTGTTTTTATCATCTCTTAATTTTAACTATATGCCTTTTCATTCCTACATATGTTCTTTTTTCTTTCGTCCCTCCTTTATGTCCTACTTTTAATCTCTCCTCCTTGTTGTTTGATATAGCAACGAGTATTGCCCTTGGTTTCTGTTCACGATTTCTTGTTTATGAACTGTACTCTTTTCAACAGCCATGTCATTATTTTGTGCTCCTTACCTTTTGCTACCACCCTACACTTGTTTCCTCCATGTTCTTTCTGATTTCTATATATCATTGCCTTAGGGTTTGGTCGTCCCTTCTTCTCCCTCCCTCTCGACAATTGAGCATATGATGCCCTCGCTAGTCACGCTCCACATACCACTGCAAGGTGAAACAACTAGAACTAAGTTTAATGATTACGAGCTAAACTAACATATTCTTAATCTCGTATCCAGGTTGTTTTCTCCAGCGCTGAACATTGCAAGTTCTATGAACCTAGGCTCTATGCTTGTTATAAAGACTTCTGTTTCGCACCGTCCCTTTCTTATGGGAGGGGAGTGGCACCGGCTCAGCTGCTGCAGAGAGGCGTTCCTGTACTCGAGCAGCGCAACCAATGTTGGGACCGACGGGGCTGCATGAGACACGGACACCGTCCGGGGAGATTGTGACGCTGGGGGGTAAGGTGGCGGGCTCCAAGGTGGTGGCGGACCACGCTTCGCACTTCGCGGGGTTGTGAACCAGGCCATGGCTGAGGAGGGCCTCTGTGAGGTGCCTGAAGGCCGCAGTGCAGTTCGCGATCTCGCCTAGCAGAGTGATGTCGTCTGCACACGCAAGAAGCACCACCTCCGGATGAGCCGCCGCCATTGCTACGAGATAGGGATGGATGCTGGCCGCGAACAGCATTGGTCCCAGCAGATCCCCTTGGCGCACGCCTCTAGCGCTCGGCAGAGGCGCTGCATCGAAGTCGTGGTCGAGGTAGAGGGCGGATGGGCGGCCGTATGAGAGGCAGATGAGTGGTACCAGAGTGTCAAGTTTCGTCCCCTTCAATCCTTCGAACACTGCCGCGCGCTCCACTACGTTGAAGGCGTTTGCCAGATCAATCTGAAGAAATGTTGCTCCAGGGAACTCCTCCAGGTCAGTACGTGCCGCGTGAATAGCCGCCTCAATGCCTCCAACGATTATGACTCCAAACTGAAGCGGGGTGAAGTGCTCACGCGCCGCAGGGCTGCCAGAAAAAGAGCCGCCTTTGCAACGATTCGCAGCAGACATTCACCTACAGCTATCGGTCTTGTTAGACGCGACGATGTGAGTAGATCTGCCGCATCTGCATTCAGTTTTCCAGCTACCGCTGTGTTGGTAAGTGCGTGTAGCTGCATGAAGACGTAAGCGTTCCCAGGGCCGCATCTCTCAGGTGCTCGAAGGTAGTTCTTGAGGGTCCGGCTCCTATGCTGTTGGGGCATTGAGCTAGCAGCCGCCTGAAGTCACGAGCTGCGATTGAGAGTAGATTCTCTGGGGCGTAGTCGTGCATCCAATCCGGGATAGCCAGGGTAGCCGCTGGGTGCCTGGATGCGAGTGCGCTCAAAACTTCAGCGCTTGGCGTGCTGACAGGCGTGGCGGTCAGTGATTGGAGGGACTTTGCCAGATTCCCTCTTTTGGCTAATCCTTCGGCCCTCACATGCTTTCCAATGGTGTCAGGTACGTGGCGTGGTTGAGGGTTGCTGGTAACTGCTTCTACCGCTTCGTCATACAGGCCGCGCCACAGGCCCTAACAAAATCGCATGAGTCTGTCGCCCATCGCCTTCTAATCTGGTCTGCGTGCTGATGACGTGCGCAACAGAATACGCGGGAGGAACATCACCAGCTTCCATCCAGGTGAGAAATCAGGGTTTTTTGCGAGGTGGAGCAGCGAGGTTAGCAGGCAGATGACGAAAGATTCGCAAAGTGGGCAAGGGGGGTGACGGGCGAGGGGTGGCTGTCAGCGCCGCGTAGTGGGCAGAGGTCCCAGTTGGCGATGTCAGCGAAAAGGTCCTCCCGGCCTGCTGGTGCTGAGGACCCGGGCGTTGGAGCTGCTCCTGGTGCTGAGGACCCGACCGGTGGCGCTGCTGCTGGTACTGAGGACCTGACCAGTGGCCCTGCTGCTGGTGTTGAGGACCCGGGCGTTGGAGCTGCTGCTGGTGCTGAGGACCCGACCGGTGGTGCTGCTGCTGGTGCTGAGGACTCGGGCGTTGGAGCTGCTGCTGGTGCTGAGGACTCGGGCGTTGGGGCTGCCACTGGTGTCCCTGCTGCTTCTGGAGACGCTGCGCGGCCGCGACCGTACTTCGTACCGCTCCTTCAGCAGGTTCTTGGTCAGGCTCCTCCTCCTTGTCCTCCTCCCTCCGTCGAGTGTCCTCTGCCTGTCCAGCCGCAGTCACAGTTACCGCCTGTCTCGCCTCTCCCTGCTCCCTCCCCTTACGCTGGTCCCACAGGAGGTCTTACAGAGCGTCGTGAGCCTGAGTCTCGTCCTGCGTCGCCTGTTCGTACTGCTCGCACTGGTCGTCGTGTCCCACGTGAGCGTCCTCCTCCTGTCCCTGGCACTCACTACATGACTCTGCGTCCCTCCACTGCTCCGCAGCGTGTCCCGCTGCCGTCTCCTCCTGCGTCCTCTCTTCCTACTCTTCCTGACCCGGAGTCTGACTCCCGTCGTGCTGCCAGTCCCACTGTTACGCGTCTCCTCGCTACAGTTGTCACTGACCCGACCTTTGAGTCCTCTGCTGCGTCTGCCCTGGTCGCTGAGTTGGTTGACTTTGCTGCTCGCTGTCGCCTAGACTACGCTGCCAGCCTTGTCGCTAGGTCTGAGTCTGCGTCTGCCTGTCCTCCGTCCGTCGGGGGTGAGTGTGCCCTCGGCACGGACGTCCTTGAGGACAGACAGGAGGAGTTCCACTGCCTTGCTGCTGCTTTGCCCCGTCTCGTGTCCTTGCTAGTTGCCCCTGAGGGAGACCCGGATGCACCAGACATCCCGACCCCACGCTCTTACGCTGAGGCGATGGCGGGTCCCTACTCCTCTCAGTGGCAGACAGCCATGGACGCAGAGATGGCCTCCTGGAAGTCCACAGGCACCTACGTAGACGAGGTTCCCCCTCCTGGGGCGAACATCGTCAGTGGCATGTGGATTTTCAGGGTGAAGCGGCCTCCGGGTTCTCCACCTGTCTTCAAGGCGCGCTACGTGGCTCGAGGCTTCAGTCAGCGAGAGGGAGTAGACTTCTTTCAGACCTTCTCCCCCACCCCGAAGATGACTACTCTTCGGGTGCTGCTGCACATAGCCGCTCACCGCGACTACGAGCTTCACTCTCTTGACTTCAGCACTGCTTTCTTGCAGGGCAGCCTGCACGAGGAGATCTGGCTGCGCCGCCCCCCTGGCTTCACTGGGTCATTTCCTCCTGGCACCCAGTGGAGGCTTCAGCGGCCGGTCTACGGTCTCCGCCAGGCGCCACGTGAGTGGCACGACACACTGAGGACGACACTTGCGGCTCTTGGGTTCGCTCCCTCTACTGCTGACCCGTCGCTGTTTCTACGCACCGACACCTCGCTGCCGCCTTTCTACATCCTCGTGTACGTCGACGACTTGGTCTTTGCCACTGCTGACACCGCGGCACTCGCTCACGTGAAGTCGGAGCTGCAGAGGAGACACACGTGCACAGACCTGGGTGAGCTGACGAGCTATCTTGGCTTGCGGATCACCCGGGACAGAGCACGGCGCACCATCACCCTGACTCAGTCACACATGGTGCAGCAGGTCCTCCAGCGCTTCCGCTTCACGTACTCCTCGCCTCAGTCCACTCCTCTGCCTACCGGTCACTCGCTCTCAGCTCTGCCTTCGGATGAGTCCGTAGAGCCGAGTGGCCCGTATCCAGAGCTTGTGGGCTGCCTCATGTACCTGATGACCTGCACTCGACCTGACCTTGCATACCCTCTTAGCATCCTAGCACGCTATGTCGCTCCTGGCCGTCACCGGAAGGAGCACATGGATGCTGCTAAGAGGGTGTTGCGCTACTTGTGCAGTACGTCGGGCATGGGGCTTGTGCTTGGAGGGCGAGACCGGGTTGTTCTCACAGGGCACTCAGACGCTTCTTGGGCAGACGACCAGGCTACTCAGCGGTCGTCCCAGGGTTACACCTTCAGCCTTGGCTCTGGCTCAGTTTCTTGGCGTTCTACTCGCTCTTCTTCTGTTCTCAGCTCCAGTTGTGAGGCTGAGATCTACGCCACAGCCATGGCTGCTCAGGAGCTACGCTGGCTGACCTACCTGCTGACCGACCTCGGAGAGCGGCCTCGTTCTCCTCCAGTGCTGTACGTCGACAACAAGGCTGCCATTGCCTTGTGTGAGGAGCACAGACTGGAGCACAGAACGAAGCACATCGCCCTGCGGTACTTCCTTGCTCGAGAGCTGCAGCAGCGTGGTCAGCTTTGTCTGCGTTACGTGGCCACAGAGGCCAACACTGCTGATGTGTTCACCAAGGCGCTTCAGCCTTGTGACCATCAGCGCTTTTGCACTCTGCTAGGCCTTGTACCTACTGGGCCTCACTTGCTTACCTCTTGACCTTACTTGTACTGTGATCACTATATATATATGCCTTCTTGCTTACTTTTGCTAGGTTGTGATCACTGTATCTCTTACTTTGTTATAAACCTGCATGTGAACTGGTCTTGTGACCGCTTGCTTGTGCTCGGAATTTGTGTGGAATCCTTGAGGTCCACCCTGAGCTTGCTTTGCTTTGCTTTGACTGGTCTTGTGACCCTGTGGTTGTTTCCCACTGCGCCTATGGGGGTGTGTCAAACATTGCATGTTTATATTGTCTAGGCTGTAGTGGGTTACACCTTAGGGGGTACACAAAGTTAGGGTTTCCTACTTGTACCAAACTCTGTGCTAGTTCATTTCATTCCTGCTCAGTTATTTCTGACAGTCAGCGCTGATGATTGGGGCGGGGGTGGCAGGTGGTGGGGCCGTGTTATTGGCTGGCGTGGTGGTAACCGCGATGTTGGTGGCGGCTCCCCCCCCCCCCCCCCCCCCCCCCCCCCCCCCCCCCGCGATCCGATTTCGTGGGGTTGGAATTGCGGATGCAGCTCGGCCCTGGGTTGGATTTTGGCCCACTCCTTGAACTGGGACAGCTTCCTCCTCCTCCGTGAGGTACTTGAACTCCCCTCCCTTTCGGGGATAAAGAAGGGGTCACCCCCTGAGCCATTATAAGATTCGTCTCTAAGTGTCTCATCACCCTTCCAAGCTCTCCGCCATAGCACCCGTTTTGCAGGTCTAAAAAAACAACTAGTGCCTCTCCTATGCGACGCGGCGCCGCGCCCTCGTCTGCGGCGGCTGCTGCCGCGTCCTCGTCCGCGGCGGCTGCTGCCGCGTCCCACACCCCCGCATTCCTTCCTCTGGCCGCTCCCGTGCGTCTCGTTTGAGGTGCAACGGCGACATCGACTTCTCCTTGACGGCACGCTGGCGTCGGCGGCGGTGTTATCGGGAGTGATGGACCCATCTGCCGATCCGCGCTGGAGGGCACGGCGGAGAGCGCGCAGCCCGAGCAGGAGCCTCCCGCGCGTCGCCCGCGCCCCTCCGCTCGCCCCTTCGCAAGTGAGCCCGTCCGCCGCCTCGAGCGCGGGCTGTCTCTTCCTCTCAGTGGAGTTCGTCAGCCCCCTCGTCGGAGTATTCGTGGGCCCCTGCTCGGGTTGCGTCCAACCGTTCTGCATGTCATCCTCGACAGGAGCACGAGCGTTCGCCTCCGCGTCAGCTTCCGCGACAGTCATCTCCTCGCCACCTCTCTCCAGAGCATCGCGAAATTGACCGCCACGGGGCAGGCAGACAGCTGTCGCCCGCGAGCCCTCGCTCTCCTCGCCATCAATCCCCCCGAGGTCGAGCAGCCCATCGCTCACCGCGAGCGCGATCCCCCGCGCAGCGCTCTCCGCGGCGATCTCCGGCGAGGCGGGGGAGGGGATCGCCTGGGAGTCGCTGGGATTCCGGGCGCCGCGGCAGTCCCCCCCGCGTCCGCACTCGGCTGGTTCTGGTGGTCGTCAAGGTCGGCGGAATGGCCCGGGGCGTGGCGGAAACGGTCGCGGGTAGGATTCTGCAGTAGGTCACGCCGTGAACGTGTTGGCAGCGGTGGTGCGGCAGGCGCAGGCGGGTGGGGAGCCGACCCACCTTCACATCGCTGTGACCAATGGGCCTCCCCACGCTCCGGCTCCTGAGCTGGCGGCTCCTCTGCGCGCGCCGACATTGAGGGAGTATATGTGGCGGGGGAGGGGGCGGGGGCTGTTCCGCACCCCTCTGCAGCTCCCCAGCTTTTCCGCGCAACACTTCTCGGTTGGCCGAGTCCCGGAGCAGGCGACGGCGTTTCCTTGCGCAGCTCCGACTATACCTCTCCCCACTCGTTCGGAGAGAGACCCCATGCTGACCATGTGCATGATGCTGAATCTTGCGGAGGCGTGCAAGGGGGTGGCGAGCCTGCATATGGCGGTGTGTGGGGCCATGCGTAACTCTCCAAGCAGTTATGCTCCAGGTCCCCGAGGGTCATGCGTGTCTTGCGCAGAAGCTCTCGTCCCGATCTTGGCGCCCGTGTCGGAAGCGCCCGCCGGGGTAGCGCCCTTAGCGCGTACCTACCCTGCCACGTGGAGGATCTTGTTGTGGCAGCTCGTGAGGCAACCCCGGTGCACACGCTTCACTTGTCGGCGTAGCTCCTCCTTGCGGTGCCGGCGTGCATGCGTTCGATGTTAGAGGTGGAAGGGGCGGAGCCGTACACGATGTAGGCCTCCGACGCGTATAGTATTGCATGTCGCCGCCTCGTACTAGCTCCTTGTTTGCTCTGATGTGTGGTCCTCAACACACGTGCAGACTCGCCCTCTCTCTCTCTCTCTCTCTCTCTCTCTCTCTCTCTCTCTCTCTCTCTCTCTCTCTCTCTCTCTCTCTCTAATGGTCCTTGTATTGATATAGCAAGAAAGTACAGGCATGCAGGACATAGGCACATAGGTAACAAACATGCAAGGCACAAGCACCCCTAGTCTACAGCTCCACCAGAGGCTCAATGACTGCAAAGCAATCCCCCAGGTGTAGCTCCTCCCCAATCCCCCCTACAGGGGGGTTCTCCACCGCCGCGGCCTCCCCAAGCTTGAGCAGGAGGCCCACAGATTTCCTGTGCCCTTTGCAGGGCCACCGACCAACGCTGCCTGAACTGGTGCAGGAACTTTGCAGCATAGAATGATTTGGAGTCGGCGTTGAAGTGGCGCCGAGCTGCAGTGTCCGCCAAGAGCTTCAGGAAGACTGGCACCTCCGCACAGGGGCAGCCGTAGGTGTCCACTGCCAGGGGGAAGAAGTTCACCGTCTCTGGAAGGGTGGCGTAGTGCTGGATTTTCTTGTCCGCTTGCTCCCGAGCCGCCCAGCCCCTGCCCTTCTGCGCCTCAGGGGGGGTCTCGAGTGCTAATGGGGTCGGTAATGGTGACGTCGCATACGTAGACAGCCCCACTGCTCCTGTCTGTCATAGTAAAATCTGCCGTCTGCTCCTCAACGGGGCAGTGCGCTGACGACTCGCTGTGAACAATGAAACCCGCGTCCTGGGCCATG